ATTGGTGATGAGATAGATAATGACTGGCAGGGGAGTGAAGGGGGTGCATGCTTTAGATGGGGTGGTTAGGAAAGGCCCCACTTGGTGGTGATAATTGCACGGAGATATGAATGACCAAAAGAAGATAGCTGTGCCGATGTCTGTAGGTGGAGGATATCAGGGGAAAGGAACAGTCAGGACGAATGTGCTGATGCTGTGGAGGAGGAAGAAGAAGGCCAGTGTGGCTGAAGCACAGTGACTTATGGGAGTGTGGCCTCAGGGAGGTAAGAGAGGTAGACAGCTGGACCTGAACGTATAGGGATGGTTGGTCCTGAAAAGGAGTTGGAAATCATGTGCTAACTGCACTGAAAAGGCACTGGAAAGTTTAAGCAGAGGAGTTATATGATCTGATTGATGTTGTAGAAAGATCACTCTGGCCATCATGAGAAGAGGCTGTAGTGAAGGAAGAGTGGAAGCAAGGAGGCCAATAGGCTCTGCTGTGGTCCAGCCCGAGAGCATGCAGCATTAGATCATAGCAACAAAGGCTGGTGAAATTTAGGATATGTTTGGAGTTATAGCTGGAGAGCCTCTTTTGGGTAGGAAGGTAAGGTAAATATGCTGATATTAATTCTATGTCACTTACAACTGCATTTCCCATTATCACCCTATAGTATTCTCAGAACCCATCATGGTACAAAATCATTCATGTTCACATCAGGTCATATATCATCTCAAATATACAGAATATAAGTGAAAAAAGGAAAAAGGCCCCTAAACATTCAGAAAAGATATGGAGAGTCTGTGCACATATTAAAGGGGAGATCCTCAAAACCTTATTCAAGTTTCTGCCCTTAAATATAGTTCTAATGAGTTTAATCATCCATGCCTAGAAGGCAGTTAAAAGGGGAGGGGGGGAGAAGAGGGACAGCTTCTAACATGAGGCTGTGACAGCACAAGCAGCAGTAAAGGATAGGAAGGGAGAAACCAAAGAGTATAAAAAAGCAGATATAAGACAGTATTGAGTTATGGTTTTCTTCACAGTTAATGAAGGCTCGGAAGAACAAATACTATTGTAGAATAGCCTACCTACATGACTGAAACAAAATTAAATCCATTTGACTTACAAAAAACTTGAGCTTAAGGTATATGAAAATAATTTCATGTGGACCCTTATTTCCCCGAGGTACTCAATAAATGAATTTTTCATTGTATTTCGTGGTCGGGTACACAAAGTGCTGGATTTTTATCCCCAGCTGATAAAGGCCTATTAAAATATAATGTACACAGAATTTCCGCTTCCAGGAAGATGGCATAGACATACTTTTCCCTACTCCTCCCACTAACTACAACTAAAATACATGGACGTTATATATAAAGCAAACACAAGAAGGCTGAAAAGTGGAAAGGAAGAAACAAACTGGCTCAGGACCTTAGGAACTGAGGAACCACACAACTGTGATTTCCTTGGGTTTTCTTCTTGCCCCCTAAATTCTAAACTGGGAGCTGAAGAAGCCAGCCACCAGAGAATGCAATGCAAACGAAAAAAAATGCCCCAAACTGAAGTCTGCTTTCTCTAGCCAGAGGACCAGGAAAGAAGCAGCCCAGCAAGACAAAAAACTTTCAGAAAATGCCTCTCCACTTCAAATGCCACAGAAATCACTGTGGTCCGCTGCCACCCACACCAGCAAAGGCTGAGTGGTGAGGCTAGACTTCACCTTGTCAGACTGAAATGAAGTTCCCGAAACCAATCATGGATGCCACATCAAAGGAGACCAATTTCATCCCCACCAGAGCGTAATGTGGAGAGCACACGGGGAGGCTGCAGTTCACGCTCACCCTGCAGTGCCCCCCTTTACCCTCCCCTCCGTGGTGTTGAGAAGGCCTCCTGGAGAGGCAGGACTTTCATCCACCACCCAGAGGTAACAAGGCTCTGCCTATGGTGGTGTCAATGGAGACCATGTGGGGAGCCCGAAGCCACACCCCTGCCCAGCAGTAATGAAGAACCCCCCACTTAGGTGACAAAGGAGGCCAAGTGAAGAACCTGGACTTCTACCGCCACTGGATAGTAACGAGATGGCACCTGCCTGCTCCCCTGCTTAAGTGGTGTCAGGGAAAGCCAGTTAAAACAGGTTTAAATAAGATCCAGCGTTGCATAACATCATATGAAAATGTCCAGATTTCAACTGAAAATCACTCATCATACCAAAATCCCACTTTCACCACGCTATTCAACATAGTGCAGGAAGTTCTATTTAGTGAAATGCAAGAAAAGGAAATGAAGGCGCACAGATCAGAAAGGAAGAAGTAGACCTATTTGTAGAAGAAATTATTGCCTACTTAGGAAATACCAAGGAATCGACCAAAAAACAAAAAAATCCTAGAACTAATATGTGAGTTCAGCAAGGTCACAGGATATAAAAAAATTAACTCTTTCTATATACTAACAATGAACACATAAACACTGAAATTAAGACTAATATCATTTACCATCCCTCAAAAAAAATACAAAATAATTAGGCATAAACCTAGCAAAATATATGTAGGACTCGTATGTTGGTAACTACAAAGCTGATGAAAGAAATTACAGGAGCTCTAAATAAATAGACAGTGTTCTATTAGATTGGAAGACTAAACACAGTGAAGATGTCAATTCTCCCCAAATCCACATACAGGTTTAATGTAATTTCTATTGAAATCCCAGCAAGATTTTATAGTTGTGGACAAGATTAATTTAAAATTCATGGGGAAAGGCAAAGAAAAAGAATATCAAAAAATAATAAAGTGCAGCATCAGACTACCCAATTTCAAGATGAATTATATAGCTACAATAACTGAGACTGGGGCTGGCCGAGTAGTGCGGTGGTTAAGAGCTGGCTTGGGACGCCAGAGGGCCCCGGTTTGTATCCCACACATGAGGGCCAGTGACACTTCCCTCTACAGCTAAGATGCTGAACAACAGCTCAACCTGGAGCTGGGCTGTCATGAGTCGCCGGCGACGGCATAGGCTGCAGCCCCTGCTGCAGTGGGTTGCCATGGGCTACTGTGTGTAGCCAGCAGCCAGTGTGAGCGGCTGTCCAGAAGCTGGTGACTGATCTACCTCGTCCGGGAAGAACGCAATGATGGTGCCAACTTGAGCCAGTGAAGCAACGTCCTCCACAACTAGACTGAAGAACAAAAGGACAGCAACTTGTCTGTTCCCTTTCCCCCAATTCCCCAGCACTGTTCCCATCCCCCATTCCCCAATAAAAATCTTTAAAAAAATAATAATAATAACTGAGACTGTGTAGTATTGATAGAGAGACACATAGATCAATGGAACAGAAAAGGAAACCCAGAAATAGGTCCATAAAAATATGTCCAAGGCTAAAAAGCAATTCAGTAGAGGAAAGATAGCTTCTTCAATAAATGGTGATGGAGCAATTACACATCCATAGGCAAAAAACAAATGAACGCCAACCTAAGTATCACATCTTATACAAAAAGTAACTCAAAATGTATCACAGACATAAATGTGTCCTTTAGAAAAAATCTTCACATCTAGATCTAGGTACATAGCTCTTAGACTTAACATCAAAAGCATGATCTATGAAAGGAAAGCTTAATAAACTGGACTTCATCAAAGTTAAAAACTTTTGCCCTATGAAAGATCCTGTTAAGAAGATGAAAAGAAAAGACACAAACTAGGAGAAAAATCTTTGCAAACCTCATGTCTAACAAGGTACTAGTATCTAGAATATAAAGAGCTCTAAACACTCAACAGTAAAAAAAGTACACAGTCCAATTAGAAAATGATCAAAGGACATGAGACATTTCACAAAAGATACAAAGATGGCAAATGAGCACATGAAAAGATATTGAACATCTTTAGCCATTAGGGAAATGCAAATTAAAACCACAATGAGATATCACTAAACATCTATGAGAATGGCTAAAATTAGAACTAATGACAAAACCAAATGCTGGCAAAGATGCAGAGAAACTGGGTCACTTTTACATTACTGGTGGAAATGTGAAATGGCATAGCTACTCTGGAAAGCAGTTCAGCAGTTTCTGAAAAAAACTAAACATACAAATATCATATGACCTGGGCATTTACCCCAGAAAAATGAATACTTACGTTCACACAAAAATTTGTACAGGAATGTTTATAGCAGCTTTATTTGAGTAGCCAAAATCTGTAAACAACCCAGATGTCCTTCAATGGGTGAATGGCTAAAAAAATACTTGTGGTACATCCATACCATGAAATATTACTCAGCAATATAAGGGAACAAACTATTGATACACACAACCATGGTACCATGTGAGACCTGGAAGAATCTCCAGAGAATTTTTCTGAGTGAGGAAAAGCCAATCAGAGAAGTTTACATACTCTGTGATTCCATTTACATAACATTGTTGACATAACAAAATTATAGAAATGGAGAAAAGATGAATGGTTACCAAAGAATGACAGCGAGGTTGGGGCCAGCATGAGGGAGGGACGCTTGTAACAATGGAATTGTTCTTTAGCTTAACTTTGTCAATGTCAGTGTCCTGGCCATGATATTATACTGTACTTGTGTAAGATATTACCATTGGAGAAACTGGGTAGAAAAGTACACAGGATCGCTCTGTGTTAGTTCTTACAACTGCACGTGAATCTACATTATCTCAAAGTAAAATGTTGAATTAAAAAAATAAGCCCTTAAAATGGCATGTATAAATCATTTGTTAATTTAATGACAAAATGCACAAATCATCCAAACTTGTTGGACACTATCCTCAGAGTCTTTCGCCCTTGTTTTTTGTTTTGTTTTGTTTTGTTTTGTTTTGTTTTTACAATACTACGGTAGGTAGATGGTGGGTGGGTAGATGGCTTTGATATTGTGCACTTACAATTTTTTTTTCTAAGGAAAACATGGTTAGTGGAAAAAGCATGTGTATACCAGTTGTTCATTGTTCATCATCCTGATTTAACAGGAATGCTTCAAGTCTAGAGCCACTGTCTAGTAAAATTTCACATTTCTTCTCCTCTTCAGGAAAACCGTTAGTGAAAACATCACGAATGACCGTGATCAACACCAAGGAGCCTGCAATCACAGTGGACATAGGAAGCACCATCAAGACAGTGCAGGGAGTGAATGTGACAATTAACTGCCAAGTTGCAGGTGAGCAATTCATTCATGCGTTAACTCATTTGTTCAAATATCAGTGGATCCTTGTGCTAGGTTGGGGTGTCCAAAGATAAAATAACAAGTTCTGCTCTCAGGGATTCAGGCAGGAACTTCTGTCATTCTGACAGTGCAACTTGCTACAGAAGTTTAGAGGAGGAAAGAGTGACTCTGGCTGGGACAGAAGAGGTAGTTATTATCTCAGCCTTGCATACTGATAGAATGTGAATGTACAAAGATGGAAGCTAGGGTGTTCTAGGTAGACAAAAGTGTGAGTGAGAAGATTTATGGGAGTAGGAAAGCCTCAGAACTGTAAGGGAACAAATAGTGTGTGCTTTGGTCTGGCCGGATCCCAGAGCGCAGAAACGGTGTAGAGGGGCTTAAACCTTAGTAAGGTGGGTTGTAGTTGGGCCATGAGAGACCTTGAATGTTTGGCCAGGGAGTTCAGACAGAGGCAGAGAGTGAGTGACATTAAGGAGCCATACTTGCAGAACAGTAAGCTGCAAGCCATGCATAAAATGGGTTGAAGGAAGGAAACACTGGAAACAGAGAGGCCAGTTAAGAAGCCATCATAGTAATTTGGAGGCAAGATTGTGGGGGCACGAACTCGGGGCAGTGGTGATGGACAGGTAAGGAGTGGATGGCAGAGGTAAGGCCAATGGGAACCTGGAGCTTACGTCAGAAGAGGGTAGGAGTCATTAAAGAAAATAGCCAGTGCTGTTAGAAGTTGGGATATAGGCAGCGCTCTCAGGTTGGCCTTGCAAACTCAGAGACCTATAGGAGCCAGAAAGCCACAGGGAAGAGGAGGAGTCTCCTCTCGAGAGCGGGGATTAGTAGGAGTAAAAGAATGGGGAGCAAAAGGCAGCAAAACAAGGAACTGGACACTTGAAGGAGATCGAGAGACCCAGAATTCAGGTGGGGAAGTACTTACCATGGGGAGCTCAGGACGCCACAGCCAGCTGCGGCCAACTCTTCTTGCCTCCTGGGGCCCTGTCTCCCCAGCTTCATCCACAGCATGACTCCTGGGAACTTAATAGTGAGATTCCAGGTTGTCATGTCCAGTTGTTGCCTGGCCATACACATTACATTCTTTATTTTTATTTTTATTCAAAGAACTATTTACATTAATCATGGTTAACTAAAATAAAGCTGTGTCTCTGTCATTATGCCTCTTCTTAAATAAGACATTTATTCGAAGTGGGTAAGAATGAGCCTACTTTTGATTACACAGTTGGTCTGTGAATTTACTGGACAAAAAAGCACCCTTAATCTGAGTCTCCTGTCAAAATACTCACAGCTAAAATGCTAAATGGCAGAAGGAACTCCTTGTACTTTGCTACTGCAAGTGGCTCTTATAGCTCTCTTATGACATTATTTTAATGGCTATCTAATCATCTATTTTAAGAATATTACATAGTTTACATAGATTTATTCATGTCCTGATATGTTTGACTTGTTAGCAGCTTTTCATTAAATAGCTTTTTGCACACATATGCTTTCAACTTATAAAATGTAGCCTCACAAATTCTTCCCAACCCTTAAGCATAAAAAGGATTAAGCAATGAGTGTGATGAGGCTTTTTATTGAAAAGTGATCCAATCCATTGTACCACCCTCATATTTGTTCTCTATTTGAGAAGAGTTCAGAAAACTGAATAGGAGATAAAGGGTTGGGGGAGAAGAGAGTGTTTCAGTCATTGGGAATAGAACGTGCAAAGGGCCTGAGGTAGAAAGAGCATGCTGTATCTGAAGGCGTGCAATATGGCAGGTGTGGCTGTAATATAGAGAGCAGAGAAAGAAGCGCCATGACATGTGACTGGGGAATAGTAGAGAGTAGGCAGCGGCTCAATATTACACACTCTCAAAATTTACGGTACAATTTGAGATTTAATCCAAAGAGCAAGGGAAGCTATTGAAGGACTTACTTACGAGATAAAATAGTCAGGACTAGGTGATGCAGAAATAAATAGTTGAGGAGTCAATGATGGGCAGTGTGTCAGGGTAGGCTAGACTCTGGTAACAAGTAGACCTCCAAATGTATAATGACTCAAACACAATAGAAGTGTGTCATTCCTTACCTAAAAGTCCAAAGAGTGTTCTTGTTCAGCTGAAGATGTTCTCCATGCAGGCGCTCATAGTCACAGAATGCTGGTGCCTCTGTTATCTTGAACAAATGCCTTCCAAGGTCTCCCTGGCTGTTGTCGCCATCTTATCACCACAAAGGGAAAAACCAAAGTGTAGAGGATGGTTAGGAAAGTTTTTAAGAGCCACACCTGAAAGTAGCACATAATACTACTTTTCACATTCCCTCTTAGTCACATGGCAACTCACACTACTAGGGAGTTGGGCAGGGTAGCCTCTGGGTAGAAGAAAATAGATCCTGTGAACATCTATCAGTATCTGCACAGTCAGGGAGAAATGTGGAAGGCTAAAGACCTCCTTTCTAAACTTTCGTTGTACTTGAGAATCATTGCCAAGGCTGACATTTAAGTCACTGTATCCTTTTCTTTTCTTGCACCAAGCCATCAAATGTACCATGTCAAGGTGCACCTTTCAGGGGACGCCCCACCTTGAGACGTTGACAAGCTGCCATGGTGCAAGCAGCCTTCCAAATATAACAAGTAGTCTAGTTAACAAGAACATCCTGTCTGGGTTTAAAAAAAGAATATTATAACATCACCCTACCTGGCAGCTCAGCGGAGATTAAAGGCACTAATCCTTATAATCATATCAAGTTACAACCCATTTTGGCCAGGCTCATTTATTGATTCTTGCAAGCAACAAGGAGAGCATTGTATTGTTGATAAGATATGCCACAAAGGGGGAAAAGTAAAGGTAGGTTCTTTCCCTTCCTGTTTTTAGACACAAATCATACCAGGGAGTCCAGAGTGTAGAGCTTCACCAAGTAGCTTGTCAACAACATAGCGGTGGACTTTGTTCTGTGATACTGTATTTTCTGTCATTTTTCATACATTGCTTTCTGTAGACTGTGCTGTCACATCACAACAGGCTAGGGAGAAATCTCCCACAACCTGACCAAGCTTCTCAACAAGAGGAGAGCTAACAAAGCCAGCCCACACAGATTCGAGAAACCCCCCTTCTACCAATAACTTTGGGGTTAAAATGACAGCAGGAAGGTTAATTCTGAAAGTAGAAAGTATTTCAGGATTTGACACCAAAAATAATAGTGCAGCAATTCAGATCTTCTCTAAGGAGCCAGCCTAGTATAATGGCAGGCAGTATTATATGCAACGGGTCCTGGAATGGTTTCGTTTCATTCAACATCATTCTGTTATAACATTGATGAGATCACGTAGGAATTTAACTCTTGTTGATATCAATTAGCCTATGGTAAAGTTGGTTTTGTTATACCTCCCTTCACTTAAAGTCAAAGAAACTACCAATGATGTTAAGTGAGGACTTACTATACCTGTTAAGCTGGGGATCTGTGGCATCAAATGTGAGAGGTTGGGTCCCCACTCTACCATTTGTAGGTCACTGATTGGCTGTGGGGCAAGTAGTCGGGTACAGGGGCTCTGTCCCCATGTAATCACTCAGAGATCCAAACTAACGTGACTTTGGGCAGATTTCTTAATCTCTTTGAGTTCCACTTTTCTCATCTATAAAATGGAATTAATAATAGTGCCTCATAGGATCATTGTGAAAATGTGATGATGTTTATAAAATATTTGGGCTATAAGAAATGTTCAGTAAAGGTTCTTTCTCCCTCTAATGTGTTCAGGAAATTTCATTTTTGCACAGCTCCTGACCTCAGTGCACTCCCGATGTTTAGGTGTTCGGAACGTCAGTATTAAGTATGTGTCTCTGGAACCTTTTCAAGGGACTCTGGCACACGCAAGGGCTGGTGGAGTTTTCTAAAGCACCATTGTTACCTCTGGAGAGAAAGAGCAAAAAGGAGCTTTATAATGTCTCTTTTATTTTTCCTTTCCCTTATTCCAACTATTGTTTGTAATATGTTAGAGCCAGTCACGGGAGGACTGGCTATCATTTCAAAGCATCGTTTTGTTGTCATTCTCTGCCTAAGATCTGCAGTCTCAGACAGAAAGCCCCCAAATTGTGTCACCAGCAGTGACACCTCCATCAGCAAGCTCATGATGCAGGTACATAGAGTAAGCCTGAGAGAGGTTTGCTAATAAATATATTAGAAGGATTCCTACATGATTCCTCTTCTCTTGGCACTGCTGTCACATCTATAGTTCTAATTTTACAGAGACTGAGGGTTACTTCCTTCTACCCTTTACTTTCCTGAGCATTTTGATTTCTCCCATAACCCCCTGCCCTCACCTGAGGAATTCAGCCCTTTCAGCAAACACCCTGTCTTGTCCTGTTAAACCTAAGGGCATGAGGAAAGAATGATTAAGGGCATAGAAGAGGCTTTAACCATTTCCTGGGGAAGTGAGAAATGGCTCCCAGGTCTTTCTCCATCCTGGGGTTCTCTCCCTCTCCCTCCTCCTCTTCCTCACCATCTTCCCCCTGGTTTTCTCTCTCTTCCTGCCTCTGGCTGCCTTTTAGGCAAACAGGTCCTGACCAGAGACGGACACATTGAGCAGTAAGGCATCTTGCTGCTAAGGAGCTGTCTGTGTTGCACACAGAGAGAGCGCCATGAGTGTTGCCTCTGGAAACACACACCACAGCCCATCTCCACAATGGCACAGTCACGGAGAGAGAATGTTCGCTCCGCCATTCACATAGTCACCACACTTTTGTTGGTGGAACTGCAGGCCCGTTTAGTCCAGTTCTCTTCCTCTGCCTCCTGCTCTAGAGCAGCCTTAGATCCTATTAGGGGTTGTGTGCTTGCTGCCTGCAGCCCTCCGCAGAGGAAGGTGCCAGCAATAGTGATACCTGTGAGCAACTCAATGCAAGGGAAATACCTGCAGAAAATGATTTGTAGAACCTCATTTTTGTTTTCTTGAGCTTTCCTGAGGATACTTTCTTCAACTTACTCTTCAGAGGCTTTCTCCTGAATGCTGTGCATTTTTGTTTTTTGTAACGTAAAGCCTGAGCTCAGGGTCCAACGTCCACGTGGCATATGTGGGCATCATGGTACTCTTGCTCTCCCTAGTGGTACCGCAACGAAAACTCAGCTTCTCAGCCTCTCACCTGCATCTTTTCTCCAGGTATATTTACAGATGATGCCAGCCCAACCCCTCACATACACTTGAGTTTCAAGTATCAAGGTGTGTGCTTCTGCCAGATGGATCAGGGATGCAGTGTTCAAGTCTCCACCCTCTTTCAGCAGCCCTGACTCCTTTTTTCAGCCAGCTTGTAGGTCCCTAGTGAGTCGCATTCAATTATGGGTAATATGAATGAAAGAGAAGACCAGAGAGTCACTCCTGTATTCCCCATAACAAGGAGAAGGGGCCTACAGATTGGCCAGACACTGTGGTCACCCACCTTAGGCCACCACTCCAGGCCTGGAAAACCCCACTTGAGGCAGCAGAGCAGCCAAGACACCAGTTGGTTCACACAAGGCAGCTCATGGTTAGCGAAGGAGTGTGAGACTACCTTCCCACCCCACCCCACTTCCTCTCACTGGGATCTGTGTGACAGCAAGTTCAGGAGGGGCTGTAATGAGGGCAGTTTAACTGGGTGTCATAGAGTAGACTGCGGGCAAATTTTGTTCATCAAATTCAAGGACAAGTAACAGGTATACAAGTAACTCCTTGAAGGTGTCTGCATCCTAAACAGTAGGCTGCCCATTAAGGGCAACGCTGACCTTGCCCTAGGGCGAAATCCAGCCCCAAGTCGGGGAAAGCACAGGACAAAAGTTCTGGCTCTTCCACTATTCCTGGTTTGGCCCTTTTTACCAGGATTTGACATTCCGAACATGCTCTTCGAAATATATGCCCAAGAGTTCTATGAGTCAACTTTGTGAGGCGGGTCAGCAGGCTGGGCGGTGCAAGGGATGGAGCTTTCTGTTCCCTGGAGCCCTGTAAATTAATGCCACGGACTTTCTGTCTCCCAGCTCGCTCAGAGCTCAGCCTCCTAGGAAGCCTCCTATGCAAACCATCTCAGAAGGCTTGTGCTAAACTGGGGCCTGCTTACCAGCATGTCAACCACGAAGAAACACGCCTAAGGAATTAAGGCTGTCACCTTGTCTTAGTCTACTGGGGCTGCTATTACAAAATTCCATAGGCTGGTGGTTTCACCAACAGAAGTTTACTTCTCACAGTTCTAGAGGCTGGGAAGTCCAAGATCAAAGTGCTGGCCCATTCAGTTCCCCGTGAGAAGCTCTCCTCCTGACGTGCAGACAGCTATCTTCTTGCTGTGTCCTCACCTGGTAGAAAGTACTAGCTCTCTGGTCTCTTCTTGTAAGGGCACAAATCCCATCATGATGACCACTCTCCATCATGACCTCACGTACCTTCCCAGGCCCCACCTCCAAATACCATTACATTGGGCTTCCACATATCAATTTGTGGGAGTGCAAGCATTCAGTCTGTAACAGAAGACAGAGCTTGACTTCCAAAATCAGGTACTTCATCCCAGTTCGTATGCACACATTCTCCCCAGCTCTTTCTCAGAGTTAACTTGGATTGAAGAGAGAGGAGAGTACTTTCTTCTGGTCTTTCTTTTGCTGTGGTGACACTAATGCCATAGTTCCATGTTCTCTTGTCCTAAAAAATGCATAGACTTCAAAAAATACAATCATGTTTTCTACATACAGGGTCAACTCTGGTAAAGATCTAGCAGCTTTTCTTTGTCTGGTTCATGAATAAATTAACATTTTGTGGCTTTTAATGTTTTGTTGAAGTGTCGTATCTACATGGAAAAGTGTATTTATCATAAAGGTGCCAAACTCACCAAACCAGCCCCCAGGTCAAGAAACAGCATTATCAGCAGCCAAGCTTCGTGTCCCCCTCTCAGTCACAACCCCACCCTGTTTGTCCCACCCTCTCAAAGGAGCCACCATCCTGACTACTAACAGCATTAACTGATGTGACCAGTGTTTCTTTTTAATTACAGAAAGGAAATCATACAGTATATACTTTTCTGTGTCTGGCTTTTCTTATTCAACATTTTGTTTGTTTCATGTAGGTGTCAGTCACTCCTATTCACTGAGGTATATAGATTTAGTGTTTCTGTTCTTATAATGTTTTCTCCAAAGAACCTTCATCCACACCTTCCGCCTTGGAAGTACCCTTTACCAGCTCCTTTCTTCCTCTTCTTTTAACTGGCCGCCCTTTTCCTGCCTCATCAATGTAAGCTTGAAAAGGCTAAAGATCTTCAGACAATTGAGAGGTCTGAGGCATTATTTAGTTTGGCCAAAGTATGGTAGAAGACGCCCACGCAGATGCTTCCTGCCAAGCAGCCCCTGGGAGGGCTCGCCAAGAGGCTATAAATGCCTTCAGAGTCACCTGAATGTGTTTGGCTGATGGGTTTATTTTTTTTTTCTTCCTAGGTGTGCCCGAGGCTGAAGTCACTTGGTTCAGGAATAAAAGCAAACTGGGCTCCCCTCACCATCTGCACGAGGGCGCCTTGCTGCTCACAAACGTGTCCTTCTCGGATCAGGGCCTGTACTCCTGCAGGGCAGCCAATGTGCGTGGAGAGCTGACTGAGAACACCCAGCTTCTGATCCTAGGTAAACATCTCAAGGCTGGCTGCCCCTGGTGGACCCCATTGGGGGTGACTGTCTAACTCACCCTCCACCTCCTCTTTTCCCTGATCCAATTAAGAACATAAAGGTAGAATCAATATTCCTCCCCTTCTCCCCACCTCAGGGCCTTTCCATGGAAAGAGTACAGACTTTGGGACCAGGCAGACATCAGTTTGAACCCTCGCTCTATGGCTTACTCACTGTGTGACCTTGGTCAAGTTATTTAACCTTGCTAAGTTCAGATGCTGCTGTCTGTATGGTGACCTACAAAACAAGAATTGCTCCCATTGGTGGAGGGGTGGAAGGGGAGGGTGTCAAATAGAGGTAAATGGAGGAAAGCCGTTATTCTTAACTCTTGTGTTGAGGACCGCTTTGAGAACCAAATGAAAACTGTAGATGACCCCCTCCAGAAAACTTCCTACGTGCAAATTTTTTCATATAATTTCAGGAAGTTCATAGTCTAGTCCCCATGAAGTCCGCACATGTACGCTACTGTCGTAGTCCATTTGGGCTGCTATAACAAAATAGTACAAACTGGGTAACTTATAAACAACAGAAATTTATTTCCCGCACTTCTAGAAGCTGGAAGTCCAGGATCAGGGTGCCAGCATGGTCAGGTTCTGGTGAGGTCCCTCTTCCAGACTGCTGGCTTCTTGTTGTGTCCTCATGTGGCAGAAGGGACAAGCAAGCGCTCTGCATCTGTGGAGTCTCTTTTATAAGGGCACGAGTCCCCTCATGACTCAATCACCTCCCTGATACCATCACCTTGTGTGTCGGGGGAAAGTGTTACAATTTCAACATATAAATTTGGGTGGACACAAACATGCAGCAGTAGCACTCCTAAGCATAAGAACCCCTGATTAAAGAGTCTAACACAGTTCCTGGAAAAAATTGGTGTTTAATAATAACAGTTGCTGGAATACCACCCAGCACTTGCTATTGCCCAGTACTGGACTCTGCCATTTAAAGCTATAACCTTTTTGTCCCCTGGACTAGGGACCTTCTGCTTGTCTTCCCCACAGAGTCTGGGAGCTGGTGGGATGGAGTAAAAAGACCTATTTTTGTCTTACTTTAAAAAAAAAAAAGCAATTATTAGAGCATTTATGCCAGCTTTCTCACCAAGAGAAAGCTATCATTTTAGATTTAAAAGAAAAAGGAGAATGTGAGAAATATGTCTAATTATACACCATCGACTCTCTCAGGGAAAAATAATTAAACTTTATCCTTGTATTTTCACACCCCAAATTGATGATATACCAAAGCATAAGGTCTCTAGGCCCTGCCCACTCAGGTTTCAGAGAGACCCAGATGGGATTTCATCTCACCAGTGGCTGCATAAACCTCCAGCCATCTTAGGAAGCCACAGAAAATCAGCTCAGTGAAGGATGTCATTTGTTTTGTGTTGGGTTTCATCTGGCTGAGCTGCTAGCCTGGAGCCCAAGACCCAGAGGCTATTGCCCCATACTGAGTTATGGTGCTTGCTGTGGCGTTTTCCTCCCTAATAACCCTTCCTTGTTGCCTCTGCTAACAGAGATGAAAGCCTAGGATATGTAGCTGCTCCTGTAGCTTTGCCAATGAAGTGTGTACGTTCTGGGAGCCAGTTCTTGCAGCATTCCAACTCTAATACGGTGTGACTGTGAACATGGGGTTTGAAGAGCATAATGTCTTCCCATTTTAATCAAACTTGATGTGGGGGAGGGGAATCGCTATTTAGACTCAAGTTTAAGGCTTTTCTTGATCAGAAGTCTTGGTTTCTTAATCAAAGTTTGTTAGTTTTATAGGTAGCTTATGAACACAGAAGTATTGTCTCCTTTTTTTAATCAGCCAAAAATGTGCTTTAATTTTTAAACCAAGGAGTTCATGTATAAAGCTGAGGTTTTATGCCAAGTTCTGTGACTTAACCTATAGCATGGAGACGTGCAGGTTAATGACACACTTTTATTCGTTATTCATATAGCCACTGAGTGAATATTCATTCAGTGTTGCCTCTAAGTTTCACGTAGAGCTTTAGGATAAATATAAGAGGTGACCTCTGTCCTTGCAGAATTTACAGTTTCCCTAAGAAGATCAAATGGACTTGTACCAAAAAAGAAAAATATGATAGAGGCTGTGAGGACATGAGCAGGTGCTAATATCAGGCCCAAGGAGATCTGATGGTTTTGGAGATGGAACATAACCTAACCCTTTTAGATTTTAATAAATAAGCAAAAGCTTCCTGAAGTTTAATATTCTTAAAATAATATTCAATTGCAATATTGAGGGAATTCAATTTCCTTCAATATTCAGTATTCACTTTCAGTGTTCTTAAGGTAATATTAAAAAGGATGGGAGGAAGAGGGTCTAGGTTTGAGGAAACTGCCACCATTAATTCCTAAAACTGTGATGTTTCAGAGTAGAAAGAGATCTTGGAAATGATACATTTCCATTTTATAGACGAGGAAACTAAGACTCAGGGGGGATTAAGGGATTTACCCGAGATAGTGAATGACAGAGCCACAGCTCCATCTGAGGGTCCCTGAACCCAAACATGATTTTCTTACCCTATTTCTTATAAAAAATATTTTTAAATTATATGTAACATATATGATGTCTATGATTTTTAAGTTATTATATATATATATATATATATATATATATATATATA